GCTGAAATGAAGAAACCTTAGGGAAAATCAGGAATGGTTTCATATGCGAAAGAGGTGCAAACCATTCATAAACCAGCCGGAAATGAAGCCAGCTTAAGAAATTGCTTTTCAGATTTCATCTCCTTTCTCCACTTTAGCCACAGTGATGACTACGTGTTCTGTCCAGACTGCTCTTATCATGGCCCCCAATCAGTGGATTCTCCTGCTTCTTTGCTCCATCCCCCACCTGTGCCAAGGAAGCAGGCCCTAATCACTTTTTTCCCTGTGGAGGGGCTTTAAGGACATGTGTTTTCATTGATACACCTGTTGTATAAGCCCCTATCCACTGACTCCCCCTCATGCTTGATGCTTTCCTGTCTGGTATGTCTACTAGTAGATCTGTGAAAAAGAAATAGAAAACCACTGTTTTACCTTTCTTCTGGTCATTTGGGCTAAAAGGGGAGGGAGGAGGAAGGACCACATTTTCACTGTTCCATCAGTGATCTTGTAAGAAAAGAGAAGTCAGTCTTTCATTATCCAACTCTGAACTTTTTTTTTTTTTAAGTATACCCTTTCACCATTCTACAGCTTGAACCAGATTGTACAAGTTGTATCAAGTTGTCCACCAGTCACCAGCTTGCACAAAAAGCTTGAGGTGAAATGAAACAAGGAAGAAAAAAAAGGCTCACCAGTTGGGTCCATCCAAGAGGGGTCAGGCAATCCAGCAATCCACAATAAAATGGCCTTGGGGGACAGCAGTGGGAGGCAAGGGATTTCCTGCCACAGCACATAACAGTCAACTGGAGTGGTAGCATTTGCCTATAATGGAACGAAGTGCAGTGGGCGAGCCAGACTGCACTGCTTTGCTGGCACAAGTCAGAAAACACTACTTTTGATGCATAGAAGGAAAAATCTGGTAGAGGCCATCTCCCGGTGGGCTCTGGAGGATGACATCATGTGTTCCTGGCCTCCAGATAGAGCCAGTGATCCTGTACCTCTATCAACCCAGTAAAAATAAAAGGGCATATTCCAAGCTTGATATAGGCCCATCCCTACCTCAGAGAGTAGTGCCATCCTCTCTCAAAGGGGTGAGACACAACTAACTCTACTGCAATGTAAAGAAGTATAGATTTGGTTTTCTTTATAGATTTTTTTATTAAAAGTTTTACAAAGCACGTAAAAACTAACACAAATTAACAGAGAGTAGAAACAGGAAAGGAAGGAAAGAAGAGAGAAAAAAAAGCAAAAGTACAGAAAAAAAGTAAAACAGAAAAAATAGAAAAAAGAAGCTTCCAATTTCCCTTGCAGCAAGTATAAGTACAATTACAAAATTATCTCTTACTCTATGATTTCAAAAAAAGCTCACTTTTTTCTATTATCCATTTTTCTCTAATCATCAAAACCACAAATCATAAGTGCATTTTTTCCATTTTATACAAAAAGTCTGTAAGAGATTTCCAGTCAACCATAAATATATTGGGTTTTTTTCCTGATGAATGAGATTAATTTAGCCATCTCCTCAAGTTCCGTCATCTTCACCAACCAATCCTCCATTGTAGGTAGCATCAAACCTTTCCACTTTTAAGTATATAATAGTCTCGCTGCAGGTGTCATATATAAAAACAAAGTTCCATGACTTTTTTCTAATCGCTTGTCCATTAGTCCCCCCAAAAAAGTCTCTGATTTCAGTTGTACTTTAACCTTTAAAATCTTCTGAATTAATGCATGTATTTGTATCCAATTTGGGGGGGCTTTTTTACACACCCACCAAACATTATATAATATCCCTCCATGTTCACATTTCCAGCAAAGATTCAAAGCACCTTTATACTTTCTAGACAATTTCTCTGGTGACAGATACTAATAAGATATCATTTTATAAAAATTCTCTTTAGGGCTAGAACATAATGTAAATTTCAATCCTTTCAACCACATATTTTCCCATTGGTCCCCATTTGTATATTATAGCCAACATTTTTAGCCCATGTTATCATAGTTCTTTCACTTGTTCTTCTGTCTCATATTTCAGCAAAAGTTTATACATTTTAGCAATAACATGTTCATCATTAGTACATAATACTATTTTAAACTCAGTCTTATTTTGTTCAAAACCATAAAATCTTTTATTATCCACTTTAAACCTTTCTGTTAATTGTACATAAGAAGTACAGATTTGTGAAGGTGGTGTCACTCAGCTGCAGCTGGGACTCCAGTAGCAGCACAAAGCGGTGTGTTGTTTGGCCTTGCAAAAGCACGAGCCATTGTTTCTTGTTCAGTCACCCTGTGCCATGAGGGAAAATGGGATTGCCTTTTCCCCCTCTCTCTCTCTCTCTCTCTCTCTCTCTCTCGCCCCCCACCCCCCTTCCATTTGATTGGAAGAGGCATGTTCTCTGTCTCAAGTCTTTAGGATAATCAAAGGATTGCCTGGGCTTTCCTAGCAAAATAAAAAAAGCAAAGCTAGCCATGTTGATCATGAGAAAGAAAAACCCATAAAGGCAATACCTTTATTAAACTTTGAAACACCTGATATTGATCATTTACTAAGAATACTTCAATCTCCTCTTCATGAGTGGAGTGTATCAGACTCAAGAGCGGGGGTATTAGCTCTGATCGCCAGTGCAAGTACAGTGGGCACTTTAAAAGGATGTTTGAAACAGACTCAACCTCTGTGTTGGAGCAAAATTTGTATTTATAGCCTTAGCTTAAAGAAACCATTTGGTGCCTTCAATGAATTATTAACTTTATAGGTTTCTTCCTTTTCTATATGTATGTGCTGTTACTTATGCATGTATTAATGGTGTGCTGTATTTTTAAATTCTGTGACTTGGTCTTGGACTGTAAATAAACAAAATTATTAAACTAGCTGAAGTTGCTTAAAATCATTGCAAGATGTTGAGTTTCTTCTTTCTGTTACTTATGCATGTATTAATGGTGTGCTGTATTTTTAAATTCTGTGACTTGGTCTTGGACTGTAAATAAACAAAATTATTAAACTAGCTGAAGTTGCTTAAAATCATTGCAAGATGTTGAGTTTCTTCTTTATCCAGGCAAAGTGGGCCAGGCCTGGCGGGGGGAGTGGGACAGACCAAAATAATCATCTTCCACACAAGAACAAACTGTTAAGACTTATTAGCGTTTTCCCCCTAACAGCAGAAGAATGACCAGTTGAATATCCAATTTTTACAATGCTACCATTTCCAAGATACAATTTAGCTTCCCCCAGTTAGTAAAACCAATTGTTGTTATTCCAAACTGAGCGTGACAGGGTTTTTAATGTAAGAATGTTACCTGTCTTTAAAAATGTGTTTATGGCTTTTTCCTGCTAGTAATGAGCTTGACATCTGGTCTTCTCACTTTGTAGAAGGCGAGGTAACTGTAACAGTTTCTGGCCCAGGAAAGAAGCACCTTTCTTGGAAGAAGCAAGATTTAGATAGCGAGACTTTGCCCAAAGAAAGTGATGCTCTCCAGAAGCCTTAGATTAAATCTCAGCCTCCCCAAACTGGATAAGACTGCTTATGAAGCAGAATGAAAATGTGGTAAAGAATTTTGGAACATAATAGAGAGAGAAAATCATTCAAGAGTTTTGTACACTGCTTGTCACAGGTTCTAGCGTCACTTAACAAATGCCAGAATATTTTTCAGGTGCAGATGGCCTTGAGATGTGTATAAATTTGCAAATCAGAACTCCGTATCTTCCTCCTCCTCTTCATAATAATCATAATAATAGCAGCAGCAGCAGCATTAGCCGAGGTTCTTCTCACTTTTACAATATGCTTAAACAGTTTGAGGTGGATTGGTTGCCATTTTTCATTTTGCAGCACATACTTTTATCCTATTAAATGCATATATGCTTCACTGTTTTAAAAGAAAAATACAGAAAATCTGTTTGAGGATAGGGGCAACAGAGGGGTAGTTGTCACCTGTTTTTATCCAATGAGAAGTGAACACAGTAGTTTCTGCATAATTGTCTTCCCCTGAGTTTGTGTGAATTTCTGTGAGAACAGATTATATAGCTAAAGGGAACAATGAGTTTAGTTATATGGATCAATAATTTGGGGCATAGACCAGGGGTTCGTAACTTGGGGATCTGTGGAAAGATTTCAGGGGGTCTTTGAACTTGGGGAAAAAATTACAGCTTTATGTTCACTAAGCTGTAACTGAAATCTAGTTTTTCATTCAATAATGGGTGAATGAAAGTAATTTATGGCCTCTACACTCCAAAAATGTTTGTTAACTTCAATAAATCTCATTACCTAAAACTGTTATCCCTTGGAAAGGGTATTGTCTTGGTATTCAGTAAATGGATTAATAAAGAAGCAGACACACTATTGTATTACATATTTGTCATTTTTAAAAATATTTTAATAGTTTGAGCATAATTGGTTTCCTTTGTAATATAATCTTAAACTATGAACTTTATTTTATGCATTTACCATATATACTTGCAAATAAACCAAGAATTTTAGGTGCCAAAATGCACCCCAGAAAGTGGTTTGGCTTATCCACAGGTTGGTTTATCTACAAGTGTATATGGTAATACATTTTAAAAGTACCCATATATCCCGTATATATTCAGGTAGAACCCCATCCACGGATAAACTGACCCTCAAATTTTTAACCCAAATGCCATGAAAAATGGATAATCTGTGGATTACCTGCAGATAAGCCAATTGTGAAAATTAAAACATATGAACATTTTGAGGGTTGGCTTATCCGCAGATGGGCTTATCCGCGAGTATATACAGTGAGTACATTTTTATGAGAAAGGGTCCATAAGTTTCATCAAACTCTCAAAGGGGTCTTTGGCCCAAAAAGGTTAAAAAACCCTGGTGTAGGCAAAAGCATGATCCTGGTGTGTGAATGGCATTCACCGTCTGTATTCTGTAGGGGGCTGATGGGGCCCTGGAATAGTGGCTGCGGGAGTTTCCAGGAAGAACAAGGAACTGTTTGCAGCTTTTTCTGTGCTCATCACCCATCTTTCTTTAGCACTTAACCTTTGGGGTTTTGTTTTGCTTTTACAGTTGGCAGGTTCAGCTGTTGTCGCATTTGGGCTATGGCTGCGGTTTGGAAACATAATAAGAGATTTAGCAACTGATGAGGACTCCCCAGAATATTTTTATATGGGTAAGTTCCATGTCAAGTATTACTGTATAAAAATAATTTTTCTTCGATAACAACAACAACCATCACTGGCACCATCCCATAAACTTCCACATTCTCTGGCAACTCTCTCATCTTTGTATGCTCAGAAACAGCCAGTAGGAAATGTATGAAGTGTGAAGGCTGGAAGCTTTGGCTGGGTATATTGGCTCTCTAGAGTTAAGAAATCCACATCTGCACAATATCAAGAACAACATAACAGAAACAATGTTGGATGTCCATTTTCTTGCTGCCAAGGTTGGACGTCAAACAATGTTTGACGTCCAACACTGGACGTCATTGCTGCATTGGCGGCAAGAAAACCCAAATTTTATTACTAGAAATCTCATCATTCGGCAATTTGTCTTTCCTTAATTCTTTTTGTAATTTATTTTGTTTTAATAAATTCAGTCATGTAGGCTGCAGTTGGATATGAAGCCACTATATACTTCATGGGGAGAGATTAATTCCTGTCCTTCACACATGTTTTTCACTGAAAATTTCTTCCATAGACAAGTCATATGTTTTTCCTTTCACAAGGCAAAAGATATCAACACCAGCCTTATTTTTTTAAACAAGCCTATAACATTCTCAAAGGATCATTCTTGGGGGAAATAACTTCTCTTACCACCACCACCCCCAGTTAGATGACCCTGTGATGATGTGAAACATCTGTCCTCCCTTCTAGGATTAATTAATTTTCACTTTTGAAAAGTTTATAGTTTTTGTATTTCACTTGTTTTATAAATGCATTCAAAGAATATGTTTTATAAGTTAATAAGAGACGTCCTCTTGAACACTGAGCAGACAAACAAAACTATGGACTTATACGTCCTTACATAAAGTCCCTGCATCAAATCAAAACATTGTTATGGTCATTGGTTCTACCTAAGGTAATGAAATTAATGTATAGAGATTCTCACCACCAATGGAAGCTCATAGAGGTGGGAGGTATCCTTTAAACTGCTAAATTCAATCCCTTCCTCAGTGCAGGAATCCAGATTAAAACCTCTATGACAGGAGGCTCTGCTTGAATACATCCATCAGTCAGGAGCTCAAGTCATCACCTTCCTGGGTAATCGGTTTCATTGTTGAATTACTCTTCTTTTAGGCAGGTTTTTTCTGTAATTTACATCCATTATTCCATATCCTGTCCTCTGGGGTAATGGAGAAAAGGTCTTGACCTTCTTTGAGAGAACTTTTTTGTCAGGATTTAAAAAATACTGTCATACTTCTATCTCCCCTATTTTTCTCAAAACCTTCAGCCTTTTTCCATAGGACTTAGTTTCTAGTCCCCTGATTACCCTTGTTACTCTTTTTCTGAACATGCCTAATTCCTTCTTAAAATGTGGTGTCCAGAATTGGACAGTCTGCTGGAGATCAACTCTGATCAATGCAGAATAAAGGGAAACTAGGATTTCAAAATGATGCATCCTGAAATAATGGCAAATAATAATCTAAAGGCTGTCAATGAGCACTAGAATCTAGGCATTTAAGGATTTTTCATTTGATGTGAAATCTTGCAAAAATGTTATTGCACTTGTCTAATCCAATCTTGAACTGAAGAAAATGTATAAGCCAGCATTCCTACCAGGTCAGAGTTGGCCAGTGAGCTCTGGATAGGCTGATGTAAGTGAGGGGGTGAAATATGCTAAAGCTTAATTTGTGACAGAGCCTTTCTCACTCTTGCCTAGGTCTAACTACTGTTGAGAGAGCTTACGTGTTTGTTACAGAGTGAGGTAACTGGCTCAGAGCCCAGCCTTCCAGGGATAAAGGATCATCAAATGTGACACAGTATACAAACCAAAATATCCAGTAATTGGTACCTCTCTAATGTATGCCCTTAGGACTAGTTTCTCAACATATTTCGATTTCTAGGGAGATACTGAACCGAATTGTTTTAGAATATCTTTCCTAGTGCACATATTTATTTTTTCTGAAATCAGCATGGCAGCCTAAGATATGCATTGTTTAATTTGGGGATTTTTATTACAGAGTCCTTGAAGTCCATGTACAATTAAGCATTGTATAGATTTTCCTTCATACAGCACCTGAAGTTATCTGAGTCTGAAGTTATAATCCCATACACATACTGTATACTAGAGATCAAGCTTCACTGAACTCAGTGGGACTTAAATAGCCATATAAAGGCTTGCACCGTTAATCTACATCTCTTTCAATCTTCCATTATCTTTCCAAATCCAACTATAAACCTTCTGGCAGGGAAAAAATGTATAAAGTTCCAACTGCTGTGGGACTCTGAGTCAGACTATATTAATAGTTGCTAGCATTCAGGCACTCTGAGGATTGCCTTTTTTTTTCCTCCTGTATTTCACCCATTTTTTTTCCTGTTTGCTTGCTTGCTTTATTTTGCAGCCTGCCTGATTAATACAGAGAGTTACACTGCTGACAAAGATATTTTGAATAAAAACTCCCTCAGAAAAAATTCCTCATGTACATTAGATTTGGATGCAGATTGTTTGATCCTCAGATTAAAAACAGATGCGCCAGCTTGGTCCTGTTCTGTGTCATCTATGACCATCTTGGCCAGCAATAATGTAAATTGTAGCCCAGTACACCTGGAGACCTACTTTACTAGCAAAATTGTGATTCTAGAAAGTACCTGTACTTGGTTATCTGTAAGCAGTTATGCTGCACAAGATAATCTGTTCCCTGTATATAAATATATCACTTTATTTACAGAATATGTCTAAATATTTTTAGAGATATTTATGCTTTATCAAACTGACCCCCCACACACGCATAGATAGGTCTTCTTAAGTGCAGTCCCAAAGAAATTCCAAAATAAAGTACTTTAAATTTGAGATTCCACAATTTTAACAATTTCTAATAACATACTTTTTTCTGGCCATATCTTCTTTAGGAACTGTGAAATCTACTCAGACAGTACAGACTATTTGTTCTATTGTCAGGATCCTACTTTCAGGGAACTATAGACTGAAAGCCTTATCTTACTCCTTGTTTCAAGGGAAATTCACTAGAAAAACCTGAGAATAAAGAAAGGGGAGTAACAGACATTGGCCTGGTTTGACTATATAGCTACAGTACAGGTGTTCCTCATCGCTCCATCCTTCTGAAGCAAGATTTGTGAAGTGGGCTTGTTCCAACCAATTATAGCTGATATTATAGATACAGTTCATGTTCAGATGTAATACTAAACTATGATTGATCAAAATCAGAAACAATGCCTGATTTCTTCACAGGCATGTCAGAGCCCAGAAGCTCATTCTCCAGGTTACACTATAGCAGAAAGAAGTCTCAGTGCAGCAGATTGTTTCAGTATCTTGACACTCCTGACAAAAATAAAGATATTAGCTTGAGAAATGCTTTGTTCTTAAGTGGGTTAAGTCATCCAGGATCAGGAAGAGACAGCTGGGCTATTGTGGACTATAGCTGAATACTTTGGGGATCACAGTGTAACTGCACTTCTTCCCAATAGTATTTAATTATTAAAATATTTTTCTCCTTACTTTCAGCGAGAGACACTTGAGATAGCTAAGAAGATATTAAAACAATAAACAGAATAACGTAATAAAAAATTAAAACAGGATAAAACTATAAAATGAGATTCTATTAAAAATAGTGTCTTACAAATTAGATAGTGAGATCTAGGATTTTTTAAGAGTGGAAGGTGAGGTGTAGAGAATCTCCAAGCAGATTTGTGTCTCCTTTAATAGCTTTGATATTAACTAAGAGGAAAATGGATTAGCCTGCAAAGTTTGAATGAAAGGCATAATTTGTAATTGTAGGGTGGCAGACTACTTTTGTAAAGGAGTCAATAACTTGATAGCGTTCAATTCACTGAGATAAAGTGAAGTAAATGTACTCAGTACCCATTGAGTAAATGGGTTCTTTTAAATGGCTTTAGAGTGTCTAGGTTCAAGAGAATAATTTATTCCCTGCATTGTCTCTTTTTGGTCACAGTGATCCATGTAGCGAGACTGCTATTTAATGATGCCCTGGAGGAAAATTGTATTAAATAATGCATCAACATTGAAAATTTGGAAGAAAGCATAATTAGAAGTCAAAGTCAGCTCCTGACCTTTTCTCCATCAACAGCAATTGTAGAAATTGGCCCTTGACATTCAGCAGTAATATCATGCTACAGAGAGTCATGTGAAAAAAAAAGTACACCCTCTTTGAGTTCTATGGTTTTACATATCAGGACATAATAAAAATCATCTGGTCC